TTAAAACTATTCTTCACCAGTAGTTGTTCTTTAACGGTATTATGCTCCAGACTGGAGACGTTGGGATTTACCTCGAAGTATTTTATGAAAGAAAAGAGACTGTCTAAAACGGAAGGACACAATAATTACACCATTCGCATTTGGAATAGCAACTCAATTGTAAGTAGATTGCTGTTACTCTTGAGATGGAAAATATACGAGCACCGAAACGGTGGACTCTAACAAACAAGAGATAATCACTTCATTCGAAGCCTGGGGGTAAAATTTGCAATATAGTTCGTGCTATTTTTAGAAATCCTCTTTCTGCCTCCTTTTTGGGTTTTTGAATGACCATTTTTAAGTTATTTTTTGTCTAGATTTGAAATTTGATGTCTTAAACTGCATTTTCTTTCAAGCTTTGTGAGATAATGAGAGATTTACAGGCGGAAGGATAATTCTAAAAATAGTGGTTTTGTGAGCAGTCCAAGTCATGGTCTACTTTTATTTTGAATTGGCCTAATTAAAATGTTTATGGTCATTGTAGGCCAGTCTTTCATGTGACACATTGGAAAGTCTTTAACGAGATTTCTGGAAAAAGTTATATAAGATTGAATTTGTTTTTTTTAACATGGAAAAAGATGGCCCGAGTCCTGTCTGAACCCACGTAGGCCTAAGTTTTTTTTTAAATTGCTATTTTTCAAAACGTCGTGAATGATTTTGTATGAAATATTCAGGATAGGCAGAAATAGGGTTAAATTACTTTTTTTTGCAACATTTGCTAAACTTTTGCAAAAAATGTTATTTTTTATGGCTAATTTTGGTGAAAATTTTAACCAATTTTAGGTAACAATATTGCAACTATGTATCAAAGTTGTTTTGGTGGTAGTCGTCTGTTGGCCTTTCGGCACTTAAGTTGCCAAAGTGGAGATGTAAAGAAGACTATATAATTATAAACAAGCCTAATTTTCTTTTCTTTCTCATTTTCAGAGGCAATAATACATTTTTTAACTGGCATGACATAACATCATTGATTATGAATGATCTACATCCTGCAAAGCACTTGGTAAGTCCAATTGTCCTGTTTTCGTATCCACTATCAATTGTATTTAGTATTGTATATTTTGAAAATTCGTGAATTTTAAGAGAAAGGCTTTTTTCTTTTCCCTTGGTCTTCTTTCATTTTCCCTATGGTACTCTGATTGCTTGTCTATACTGCATAGGCCTAGTGATTGCAAAGTCTTATGGGACAGTTTTGCCCCTAAAAACACTCTTTAGCCTTCTTCACCCCAATATTGGATCTGAGAATTGTACAGGAAAGGCGTCCCATAGAATTTATTTCATTTTTCACACTTTTTTAAGCGAAATATTTATGCACTTGTTAATTGACTCGCACTCCCGCGTGTATGTTTTGAAGCGTGTTTTCTCAATGGAAGCTATTGAGAAAACACGCTTCAAAACAAAAACTTATCATTGTCATTCATTTGTTGACTAGTTAAGTTCCCGTTCACTTCCGGGTTTATGGTTTTTTATTAGTTTCTTTATTAAAACTATTCTTCACCAGTAGTTGTTCTTTAACGGTATTATGCTCCAGACTGGAGACGTTGGGATTTACCTCGAAGTATTTTATGAAAGAAAAGAGACTGTCTAAAACGGAAGGACACAATAATTACACCATTCGCATTTGGAATAGCAACTCAATTGTAAGTAGATTGCTGTTACTCTTGAGATGGAAAATATACGAGCACCGAAACGGTGGACTCTAACAAACAAGAGATAATCACTTCATTCGAAGCCTGGAGGTAAAATTTGCAATATATCTTGTCATTAGATCAAAATTTCGCTTCAGACCTTGTTGATGGTGTCATATGGGAAAATATAACGGCTACTACACCTAAAATTTGTTTCTAATGGAGAGAACGTACCAGAGGCAAGAAGGACAGATGATCAAAATGTCACTCATTGGGAACTTATACTCGGACAGATAGCTGTAAGAGTCGATAATACTCCTTTTCCTTATAATTAATATTTTGTGGTCTTGTGGAGGTTGTTAGGCCAATATTTATGGTATGTGTTAAGATCTGTTGTGTCTTTATTTCTGATATGTATTATTGTCTGTCATCCCTCTTTGCATACGATTTGCTTGCTGTACCCTTGATGAGTAAAGTAGTCTCGATCATATTTGTCTTTTTTTAGCTAGGGACACTCCACGCATGATTTTCCAGCTTTATAGACTCGATTGTCACACAAGAGTTTTAAAGAATTTTGTTATTTGATATTCTTTGTATTAAGGACTGTTTATTTGTATCTTTTCAGTCAATCGTGTTTGTACGTATTTGTGTATATAAAAGAAAGAAAAGATGTTTATTTACTAATACCAAATACGCATCTTTAATCATAAAAAACGAAGCCCCTTTAGATTCACAACCTACAATAACGAATTACTTCCCAGTTATTTCCAGAAATACCACTGTCAAAACATTGACATCCTTGACACAGATTTGGTAAGTAATCCGTTTCCATACGGATTTCAGTTCAATATCTTCATAGACTTCATATAACTAAAACAGCGGGCTCTCCTTACCGTGGTATATAAGAGTGTACACTCGTTCGGCTATGGGTATGCCGGGACCTGAAACAGCATTGGAGTAGTTGATGTGTCGTATTTTGGGAGATTTACTACAGAAACTCGCTGATGACCTTTAACTCAACTGACGTGGCTTCAAGCAAAAACTTCGAGCCTTAAGTGTGTGTAATATGAGACATTCTGTCCCTTGGATACTGCCAGAGGCGGTGATCCGTTTTTCAAACAGGGGGGTACACATCTTTTTGGGTACTGGTCGAAGGAGCAGGCTCATAGCCAGCCAAGTCCTTTTGGAGGGTCAAACGTCAAATCAAGCGGGGCAGTTTAGGTAGCCTATCCCCACTCTCCCTCCCGCCCAGAAAACCGTTACGCGTTGCAATGGTGCTCTCTATAGAGTTATTGCTTTCTTTATTGCTGCCGAGGACGCCCACTGGAAGCCTGGAAAAACGATTTTCTGAATCTGGCGACCCCCTCCTAGAACATTCTAGTGAAAATGACTACCTGAAACGCCATTTCCTGACATTTCCATTTGATTAAGGTTTATTTGTATAGGGGACTGTTGGACCACTACAAGAAAAATTTGAGAATTAGACGTCGGTGACAATCGATTATGGGTCGTTGAAAGTCCAGCGATGTTACTAAACGATTCTCAACTGAAAGTCGGCGACGTCGGCAAACCACCTAAAAAGTCAGTCATGTTGTTTTTTGTTGATAATATAAAACTCCTAATAATGAATTAACTTATTTTGAGATTGGGTGACTAAAACAATAAGATCCTCATAATTTGTCACACCTTTGATAAATTTTTCTCGAGGACTAGCCTTAGATTCGGCACAGAAACAAATGAGGCATGATTGTTACTATAAATAGTATCGTAGTCACAGATTGTGCCGAATAAGGTTTTATACTGAAGTAGATTGCAGACGACATTTCGGGGAGTAGAGAAGAACAGCATAGATATGGCCTATATGCAAAAATTCATCATTTAACTATCGAAATACAACACTTCTATTTGTAACAAAACATAAGAAATTATAAATATCCATTGTTCGTAAGAAATACCGCAAATCCGAGCTTTAAAAATTATCGGTTAGTTTGGAAAATCTACTCGTGCGACCTTGAAAATTTAGACCCAATATCACGGGAATATAATATGACAAATGCAAGTATTTCATCACTTCAAAAATAGCATTAGAGATATCAGAAGTATAAGAAAAGCCGTTATTGAAGAAATATTATAAAAAGTGGACATGTCATGTAAACCTATTTGAGGTAGAGTCATTGTTGTGGGAAACAGCGACATTACCGCTCAATACTATTGTGTCTGCGTTATGCCAACTTGTTGTTTTCTTTTTTCGCCCAGACAGGATGTGCGTTATTTACAGCGACAAATTTTTCAGATAAACTCGAGTGTCAAAGGGACGCACATCGCATGTATATAAGAATACATTTGAGGTTAAAGAAAGGCTACTACTGTATTTATTTTTTGTACTAGTATTAATATTAAAAACACTACTGTATAACTTTTATTAAAAATACTTAATTAATAGCATTAAAAAGTGCTGATACTACACAAAATTTCGGTCCATACAGCAAAAAAATTATATGCAAATAAAAAAGTAATTTGTTATCTCAGAGTGTTGAGTGTACTTACCTGCATCAAACCTATCATAATAATTAACAAAACAACTATGAAATAAATTTATAAAGCCGTAAAACATGTATATGTTCATTAAATGGGGCGTGTTTCGATTATTAATCGATTTTGCCTCTCCAATTATTTCGATTAATTGATTATTATTTTCATCCGATTGCTCATCACTATTTTCTACCGAATTTAAGGTTTATTTGTAAAGACACTGTGGGACCACCACAAGAAAATTTTGAGAATTTGATGCCCGGAAACGCGATTTCCTGGTGAATTTAAGGTTTATTTGTATATCGACTGTGCGACCACCACAAGAAAAATTTGAGAATTAGACATCCTGACATTTCCCAGCGAATTTAAGGTTCAACATTATTTTTATAGGGTCCGTTGTATGCCGCTGAGAAAATTATGTGTCGCAGACCTAAATGATGTAAAGACGTCATCTTAATTCCGGTATCATAGCCAAAGACGGACTTTTGGTTGTAAAACATAGTGAGCCATTTTACCCGTCATCAGAATTGATAGTAGTCCCTGAGAGGTATTACATAACATAGTTTATTAACGTTTAAAGTTGGACCACCCTACACAACACCAACTAAAACAAGTTTCGAAGCCCCGGAATGGATCAAGCAATCGCTTGTCATGTCTGTACTTTTTTGAAACATATCAATAATTTATCAACTACCGTTTCAATATCATTTGCTGTTGATGTCCTTCGTCGTTTTGTATTTCTCTTAAGAGGATGAGAAGTCCTCTACATTTCGGGACATACTTTCTCGTTTATTATCGATCATGAAACCAAATGATGGACCCCCTGTATCAGTTCGAGTTGATCCCGCTCCAGAGTTCACCCCTCTTGTATCAGATCAAACACTACTCAAACTTGGAATCTCACTCGAAGTCGGTAGAATCAAAATCCCTGATAAGAATCCTGTAGCAGAGAGGGCTATCCAAGAATTAGAGGATGAGTTATATTACGTCAGGAACATGGTGATGATCCTGTTACACCATTGGGAGCTACGTGTGAATTCAAGAATCCGGTCTAATGGCTTATCAGCTCATGAACTATGGGTCCAAAGAAGTCAAGTAACAAATCAATCTCTGATCGTAAATAGCACTGTTGCTAAAGTTGGCGATTTAGTTTACCTTACCTGTGATGGCAGCAAAGACAATTGGTTTTACATCTGTAAATTCGTTGGCGCTCAATTACGATCTAAAACATACCAGGTTCATCCATCCAAATGTATTGTTATACCTCAATTTTATTCGCCCATACCTCCCAGGCGTTCATACCGCAATGATTCTGGTGAAGTAAGCGAGTACGAAGATATGGATTGTGATATACCCTTTACCGATGCCGACCAGATGTAAAATGGTGCTGCTCCATGTCAAGAAAAATCTCTTGTCGAAGAGCTCATGATTTTGATCCCCCGATTCCTCCGGATATTCCAGAGCTACCAGTTGAAGACGACGATACAGCTGCCGTCATTCCATCTTCCAGCTTTCATCTCCCCCTACACGACCCAAACGCATATTAAAACGGGCTGCATATTTGAATTAACTATCAATGTGATTAAAAGCAAAGTTATGCTAAATGTGCCATTTGTAATGTACTTTTGACAGTTCGTCCATCTCGGTGCTTTACTTTGTATCACATTTTTATACGCCCACATGAAATCGGATGGGGGGGGGGGGGGGGGAGGGGGGGGGGCGTATATTGTCGTATACTAAATTGTGTATGGTTGTTTGTAGTCGCAAAAGGATGAAAAATATTTAGTATGAGTTATTGCTCTTAAAACTTGCTCGTAAACACTCTAGAAGGCGCAATTCTTAACGGATTTTGATGAAACTTGATCTGAGTGTTTGTTATCACCGAAGGACGAACCCCATTGAAAATCAGTCAAATCGAAAAATGATTAGTATGAGTTATTATCCTTGTTCTCGTAAACACTACAGAAGGCACAAATCTTGACGGATTTAGATGAAACTTGGTATGAGTGTTAGTAATCAATCGAGGGTGAACCCTATTGGAAATCAGAAAAATCGAAAAATAATTAGTATGAGTTATTGTCATTGTTCAACGTTTAGCTCGTAAATACTCTAGAAGGCACAATCTTTGACGGATTTAGATGAAACTTGGAATGAACCCTATTAAAAATCATAAAAATCTAAAAAATAATTAGTATGAATTATTGTCCTTGTTCTTGAAAACGCGTTTAATTTTAGCTTGTAAAAACACTCTGGAAGGTCAATCCTTGACAGATTTTGACGAAACTTTTGTTAACACTAAAGGATGATTTTGATGAATCTTGGTGTGAGTGTTTGTTGTGACCAAGAATGAACCCTATCGAAAATCAGAATAAATCGTTCGTTCCAGGTTTTAGCCTGTAGGCCTAAACACTCTAGAAGACTAGAAAACTTGATAATATTATACAGTATCGCCCCAAAAAGTTCAAAAGAAGTGTAAGACTGAAAGTTGATTATATCATACTGGTAATTGTTATTGTGTAGCCTACTGCCAAATATTTTTATTTAAAATCAAAGCTGCCAGTGGGCGTAGGCCTATTTTACCTTGTCTGGCAAATAATTATTTTTTATAGATGATTGGTAAGAGTGGATGTAACAACAACATATAATTGAACTTACGAAAGCACAGGCTGAGGTGAAAAATCAGCTACATCAACGTGAGTTTTATAAAGTAATGAAATCAAATTATAAAGTGATGTGTACACTACTAAAAACCCTGTTTTATCCTATAGGCTACCGTACATGTAAGTGGTCTTAAGCACTGAGCTATGGTCTTAAGTCCAACAAAGGGAAGTAAGCTAGTAGTAACTTCCCGTTCACTTCCGGGTTTATCGTTTGTTATTATCTGTTTATTAAAACCATTCTTCATCGGTATTTGTGCTATAACGCTATTGTGCTCCAGACTGGCGCAGCTGTTTTTTCAACATCTCCACAGTTAGTAGAAAACAGGTCTTTGATTACAAGACTTCACCTGGACTTAATGCCCTGACTCATTGTTGTCTTTTGTCAAAAGTTTTGATTGACTTGTCATTTCTACTTTTGTATTCCCACTGAATATGCCATCACTAAAAAAAACCTTGTAACATTGTCGAAATTGAGATGCACTAAGATGAGTCGGGACAGGCAGTCTCTCAACTTTCCATAAACTTTTCATAGCTCTTCTATACCATTTGCTGATGTTAAAAAACCATCTGTTGCTGTTGTAGCAAACTTGATGAGCACCCCTTGCAAAGACAAATCTTCTCCAATTAATCTCCCCATTTATTTCTCAGATAAAGGTTCATATCTTTGTAGATTTCCTGTGCATACCTTATCTCAAGGAAAGTTAACACCAATGCCTGTGCCTCTAAGCCATGCTCCTGTCCAATACAGTTTATTTTGCACTTATGATACAGTGGTGTAACATATTTTTGTGTATATAAGGATTCAACACACCAAATTTCGTCAGATTTAAAAAACGGAATATTTTTTTATGTCTTAGAAGTTTTCTCAGATATTCTATAAAATAATTAGAATTGGTTTCTTTTGAATTTCTTTTTGAATCCCCACTTTGGCCCATATTTCATGAGTGACCAACTCGACAATGGCTGCAAAATGTGTCACCGATTTTCGATTTTCGTGTACAATGTTTGATCTATAAATAAGTCGAGAAAACCCTGTTGAATGGATACCCAGTGGTATGATTAACTTTTCTTAGTATTTATCTTTGATAATATTTCATTATATCTAATGACAATTCATTCAAAGATAAATGATTTAAGAAAAAAATATTTGACTGACAAAATTAGATAAGTAAAATGTAAGAGTGAAACTACATAAGAATATGGCCCACATAGTGTTCCACTGACACAGAATCCACTAGTTGGCATGTGACGTCCATCGCTGAAGTATATTCTAGCAGACGACACTTGGAACTACGATTACAGCTTAGGATTGTATGGAAATTCGGCCAACAAAAAATTGTGATATTTGGTAATAACTGAAATTCATTGTTGACGGATTTTGACGAAACTTTACATGAGTGTTTGTTATCACTCAAGGATAAACCCAATTGAAAATCAGAAAAGTTGAAAATATTTAGTATGAGTTATTGCCCTTGTTCAATTTTTAGCTTGTTAACATTCTAGAAGGCATCATTCATGCCGGATTTTGACAAAACTTGGTTTTATTATCCAGACTGTGCTGAAGGTTGAATATGTGCCTTTTAGAGTTTTCGCAAGCTTAAAATTTAACATGTTTTCAAAAACAAGGGCAATAACTCATCTCAATATTATTAAGTATCGCCCCAAAGAGTCCAAAAGAAGTGTATCACTGAAGGTTGAATATTTCATACTGGTGATTGTTACTGTACTCCTAAATAATTTTATTCAAAATCAAAGCTGCCAGTGTTGCCTGATACTTCATTTTCATCATAATTGCTATCTTTTTTTTCAAACCTTGGTCATAAAACCTTGTAACTACCTGGAGAGTTTACTTCCATGTTAAAATAGTTAATTTCTTGATCTTCAGACAGAACAGGTAGATCATAATCAGCCTGTGTTACCTGACTTTCTTCACATGACCAGGTAAAAATATATTTCTTTTTTTTCATTTTTGTATGCCATATGACATAGGGTGGGGGCATATATTGCTGTCACCCATGTCCGTCCATCTGTCAGTCCACAATTGCTCGTAAACACTCTATAAAGCACAATTCTTTACTGATTTCGACAAAACTTGGTATGGTTTTTTGTAATCACCCAAAGATAAACCCTAATGAAAATCAGCAAAATCGAAAAATATTTAGTATGAGTTATTGCCCTTGTTCTTGAAACGCTCGTAAACACTCAAGATAGAAGGCGCAATTCTTGACGGATGTTGATGAAACTTGGTGTGAATTGTTATCACCCAAGGATGAACCCTATAGAAAATCGAAAGTTATTGCCCTTGTTCTTGAAAACGAGTTCAGTTTTATAGCTCATAAAAACTCCAGAATGCACAATTCTAGGTGGATTTTTACAAAACTTGGTGTGAGTGTTTGTAATCAAGGATGAACTCTATTGAAAATCAGAAAAATCGAATGATAATTAGTATTTGCCCTTGTTCATAAAAACGCATTCAAGTCTAAACACTCTAGAAGGCCCAATTCTTGACAGATTTTGATGAAACTTTTATATTATTATGTATGACTGAAGGTTGAATATTTCATACTGGTAATTGTAACTGTACTGACAAATATTTTTATTTAAGATCAAATCTGCCAGTGTATACATTACCTAGCCTGGCAAGCTATCTTCAGAGTTTTGAATGGAAACGATTAGAATTAGTCTAAGACTTGAGGGAGGTGAAAATATCAGCAGAATGATGTATTATTCTTTGACAAAAGAATAGACAGAAAAATTTTCATTTACTAGGTGGATAGGCTTGGTTTCTGAGGTATAGGGATCAAAAACCTATAAATGAGTTACATATTAGACATTCCGCTTTTATGTAGGTCGAAAAATGTTTTGGTCAAATCTGTAAAAGCTATAAACCAAAATCTATAGAAATGTATCCCATAACGTATCTGAAAGTTTGAATTAAAAAAATCTAGCCGTTACTTTTTTAACGCCAAAACTTTACGTGTCTTTAAATTTTATTATGCTTTTTGCAAGCTGTTAGAAAACTACTGAATGCTTAATTGTAGAGTTTCTAAAGATTTCAACTAAATATAATGAGCTATATAAAGCCTATCAAAACTAAACTTAGCCGAAAATAAGTCAAAATGTTTAATTAACTATTAGTACTCTCAGTTTTTAATCAACACTTTTAAAACAAATTCAGTTTGATGAAGTAGATACTTGGATATAAATAGCATACTTAAGAAATATTTTCAGGTATAATTTACGACATTTTTGATAATGAAAATGTTTTACAAAAAAGCGGAATGCCCCTTTAAACTCAATCCCTAATGGAAGTATGGCCTTTTAAAAGTCATTCTAGAAAACATTTTGGTCTATGTTATTTCTATTTCCGCACTTGTCATTAATTTAAGAAGTATTGGAGTTGTTGGAGTATAAACAGGTGGAATCATATGCGACATAAATGTTACATTATTGACCCTTATTCTGTGTTATTTATGTTTTTCAGGCTTGGTTTAGATCAATGATCCTAAATCTTTTTACTGAATTGAATTATCTTCACCAATAAAAAGTTATTACCAATTCAAAATTGTACGTACGGTATACAAGTTTACTCTTTGTTAGTATAAGCTTAGCATATCATCGAAAGGAACTATAAACATCACCATTTTCATACTTTTATGTTTATTTCACAATTTTTGGACAGGTTTATCCATAGATGTCATAAAACAAATTAAGACAATAAAAAAAATTGGTGTCCTTGTATGTATATATAGCATTCTGTTGTTCACAATACATAGAGGTAATGAATTTATTAATAACTCTATGTTGACAATACCGCTTGTTAAGCAGCAAGCTCTACGTCACATCAGGTTTCGCGATTGATTAATTACAAATGATTTCAAAAACAAATTAAAAATTTGAGCGGTTGAATATCTTTATTTTAACTATAGTAAGGTGTATAAAAAAAATCACACAACATTTTCGTGTCCTTTAATAAATATTTTCAAAAATATATTCATTAGAATATCATTGGAATCGATTGGATAGTTGCACCACTAGGCGTACCACATAGTTTGTTTACCAAGGGAGGTAATTCAATGCTCTATGACAGGAATTGTTTCAAATTAGATATACTTGATTAACACAAGATAGTATGAGTGTAGTCCGAGTGTCAAAGAATTCTAATCATAATTTTTCAGTGAAATATCTGCCGAGCATTTTAAAAATGCTACACATTACGTATTCTATATTGTAAGATTTGCTATTTTCTTTATATCACCATTTCTTAAAATGGCAACGCTCTAAAATTTGGAAACTTGTATGATCCGATATATATTTAAGGTCATGTAGAATTTCATTCGGATCGATCGAATAGAAGTGCAACTAGGTGTACCACATAGTTTGTTTAGGCAAGGGAGGTAATTCAAAGCTCTATAACAGGAATTGTTTCTTAACAGGTATTGTTTCAAATTGTATAGTATGAGTGTAGTCCGAGTTTCAAAGAATTCGAATCACAACTTTTCAGTGAAACAACTGTCAAGCATTTTGAAATATTACACATTACGTACTCTATATTGTAAGTTTTGCTATTTTCGTTATATCTCAATTTATTAACAAGACAACGCTCTGAAATTTGGAGTTTTTAGTTACCTCCCTTGTCCATACAAACTACATGGTATGCCTAGTGACGCTACTATTTGATCGATTGAATGAAATTCTATAATAAGTTAAAGCGGAACATACAAATTTATATATATATCTATCTGGCCAGACATTTTCTAAAATTTTCTGGCGATATCTTGTTCAGAAATGGAGATATTACGAAATGTGTTGAACATATACAGAATTTGGTCTATTGCCTTTAAAAATATTCCATTTGTTTGTTGGAATAACAAAAAATTCTGCAACTGCCAATTAAGAGGAACCCTTAATTGCCACAGAATATTTAAGTGGTAAATAGCCTTACGAATCATCAAGAACTATTTGCCACTTACGTGGTAAATGACCACTGCAGGCAATAAATCTTGCTTGAGTTTGGACATTTCCTCTGCTTCATGTCATCAGTCTTCAGTCACAGCCTAGTCAGAGAGATAAACAATCCCATCACAAAGACTTTCTCAATCCAATGCTGAATGGGAAAACTCGGGTTAACACAGCCTCATGTGCTGTTAGATGCTTTCTCACTAACCTGAAGAAAATTTTTCTTTACACCTCATATAAAATATGCGAAATTTAATAGTCTTCACAATATTTATTTTTAAAATTCAACCAGATATCTGTGGCACTTTTCAGAATGAAGACTCGTCCACAATTTACAACAAACTTTCTCCATTGCAGATGATGGGAGATAGAGCTAGGTTACCTAAATTGTAGAACATTAATTAGGCCTTATCATGGTCTAGAAACTATTGTCACTTCTACTGGTATGTTAACAAATAGCACATTTGATTTAGTTCCGAAAAAAGGTTACAGGTTCAATTGTATGGGTAAAATGATGTGTTATTAGGGTCCATGTTGAAATAATCAATTTTGATGTGTTTGTAGGTAAAAGTTTCAACTTTCAAGTAATCAATGAAAGTCAATCTTGTCAAGAAAAACAAGATGTCTAAAGAATCAAGGAAAAAAAGTCATGCTTCATCTGTTTCAGAGAAGGTATCATCTTACATTTGTTTCAATTATAAAGGCTACAGTGGTACCAAGGTGGAAAAAAGGTTATGGCATAATTCATCCCTTTCGGCCTTTAATTGAGATCATAACATATATTACCAATCCCAGGCTGAAAAAAATCAGATTTTCCACTTTTTTTATTGTTTTCTTTGAAAGGTCAAAGAGATAAAACAGAGACAAGACAATTGGATGAAACAGAGAGCCAACTACAGAGATGAAGAAGTTTCAGTTAAAAAAAGTAATGGTACCTACAAAAAGGAAAACTTTCCTAAAGATAGTAGTGATAGGCAGATTGAGAGTTCGCCAGATGTTAAGAATAAATTTAAGAACTGGTTGGAGAAAAGAGAGAAAGTTAAAAATCGGAACAATGACACGTTGAATGGTTTTGATGTTGAAGTCAAAGCAGAGAACTTTGATAGAATTGTTGTGAATTCACACCTAAGATCAGAATGTGAAAGTGATTTCCAACTGCTTCAGGAAAGACTTCTATCTACCAAAGATTTTGATGCTAAAGCTGACAGTATTGTGAATAAAGTTCGAAGAGATTTGAATCTATCATCTAAATCTGTGGAACCAATAGATAGAAGTCAATCTTGTATTGAAAATCATGTTTCCAAATATCAAGATAAAAACAGTTATTTACCTAGTCATCTTTGTCCAGTCTGCACAGTTTCTATGGTAATTATAATTTAATCTCATTGTTGCCACTATGACATGTCTGAGCTGCTGTCAAAACTCAGGAATTATATTTCAGAAATTGATCAAATTACGAAAGTGTTGTTGGAAGTGGGAAGATTTTTAGCACCAATAACATTCAGTACAAAACTGAACCTGATACAAATAGAACTGTCTGCAGTTATTTGACCGAGACGTTGACTCATTCGTTTAAACAAATCAGTCAAGGGCGTCAAAGAACTTGATTTATATTTTTAATTTACTTTAGGTTTCCTCTAAAAATTCACCAATGTTACTGATACCTTGTGGTCATACAGTATGTCAACATTGTAGTGACCAGAGCCAGATGTGTGCAGTGTGTGATTGTGATGTTACTAATGTCACTTGCAACATAATGTTACAACAAATTATCCAAGAATATGGTGTACCTAAGAAACAGGATGCACTACATCAAACGAGACACCAATCAGCAAAAACTATAGGAGAATACTCATCCAATAAGTATCAAAACAAATCTCAACCCAAGAAGGGTAAGTTATTGAATAATTGTTGCTGTTTCTTAAAGATAGCTTGCCAGACAAGATAAACACAGCAGCTTTGTTAAACTTTTAGACTCAATAAGGAGCAACATGAACCGTAATGATTAACCTGTCAAGTTTCTATTCAATACTCAGAAAAGTAATTAACTCCTTACTCAAGACTTTATCAATTCCAATGATCACACAAAGTTTCAAATGGAAATAAAAATGGACTCTATTGAGTGCATGAACAAATTTGACATGTTTTAAGTCAAGGGCAATAACTCAAAAACTTTGAAATGCAGACTTTTCCAGTATATCAAATATATCATCACACAAAATTTTAAACGTTTTGACTTAGTCAAGGGCAACAACTCATCGTTTTAACCATTCATCTAAAAATCCTAACATTCCAACTGTCCAAGATATCATCAATATATATGATCACACCAAATTTCATTTTAATCAGATGAAAACTGTAGTCTCAGGAACAAATTTTACGCATTTTGACTAATTTGAGGGTAATTACTCAAAAACTTCATTGAAAAATCGTAAAATTCCAACTTGACAGATCCTATCAATTCCAATGCTCAAACCAAGTTTCATTCAAATCAATTGAAAATTGTGCTTACAAACAAATTTTGACATGGCTTTACTTAGTCAAGGGCAAAACTAAAAAATCTGTTTATCAAAAATTGTCCAATTCAGATTGGACCGAGATCTTATCAATTTTAATGCTCACACCAAATTGTAGTTTCTATAATGCCCACAAACAAATTTTGAAGCAATTTTTCTAAGTCAAGGGCAAAAACTCAAACTATGTTAGCCGAAAAATCTTAGATCAATTCCAGTGATCACACTAAGTTTCATCAAAATAAGATGAAAACTGAAGTCTCTATTGTGCCCATGAGAAATGTTGATGGACGGACCAATAGATAGGGGGCGACGGCAATATACGATTACATTTTCATGTGGCTGTATACAACTGTTTTGATAGACAAATTAATATATCAGGTACATAGACATTGGTGTTTTTGTTAGAACATCCTTTAACATGGAATAAAAAATATTTGTCCATCTACTCATTTATGGCTGTCAACAGTTTTTTTAAGATTTTCCAGAATGTATGAATGTTTTCTTGTGAGCACTATAGAGACTACAGTTTTCATCTGATTTTGATCAAAATTTGTTAAAAATAGTTCATGAGCAGGATTGAAGCTACAGTTTTCAACCGATTCTGATGAAACTTGATGTGATCATTGGAATTGATAAGATCTCGGACAAGTTCTAAGTTGACGCATTTTCGATGAACAGTTTTTGAGTTATTGCCCTTGTCTTTGTAAAAACGCTTCAAAATTTGTTTGTGAACACAATAGACTACAATTTTCAACTGATTTTAATGAAATTTGGTATGATCATTTACATTGATGAGATCCTGGTCAAGTTCAAATATGACGATCTTTCAATGAAAAGTTTTTGTGTTAGTGCCCTTGACTTAGGAAAAACGTGTAAAAATTTGTTTGTGAATAGATTAGTGACTACAGTTTTGAACTTATTTGAATCAGTTTTATCATTCATATTGAGATCGTGGACAAGTTTGAACTTGATGATTTTTCGATGAACGGTTTTAGAGTTATTGCCCTTGACTTAGGAAAAAACGCGTCAAATTTTTTTTTTGTCCTTGATTAGAGCTGTGTGATTTAATTATTTGTTGTATTTGGGTTATTGGTGATACTCCAATTGAATTCAAACTCATGTAATTTCTTTAATATGAGAAAATTCATACTTTAGTCACTAAAGACTGTTTTATTATTTCTGACAGCTGCCAGTGGGCGTATGTTACCTTGCCTTGCAAGCTATCTTTGAGTTTTACATCCTGTATGCTGATATAGGTATGTGTGGCTGTGGACACCATAATATAATATATATTGATCTAATACCTAATAAGGTCTTAACTTATCTATTTCTTCAGTATCTCAGTATAAGAAATATCAAGAGCAACTAGAAAGTTTTGAAACAAGAATAGAAATTCTTCAAAATGAACATATGTCAGTAAGTGAGGAGATAAAAGACATGGATACCCAAATAGGTGTAGAACACAGACAATTACGAAATATTGAGAGACAACGAACTCAAATTGAGGATGAAATATCACAACTTCAAGACAAATTACAGACTTTAGGTCAACATGAAGAAGAATATCATGAAAAATGTGCTAATCTAGAACATGTTAAAGATGAATTGAAGACTAAAATGTTGATGCTAGATGACACTATAGCCTCCCTAAAACAGGAGGTAGAAAAGGTATCATTATATTCTTACATTTATTTTACCCTGGAAAGTATTCACATTCAAATGCCAAACTGTGTTTATGGGTTTTGGCTTCATTTGTCCAGTGAATTGTAGATATTGACACTACCAAATTCAAATTTACCCTTCCGTTGCATTGAGAAAACAAAAAACAATGATAGCTTGCCAGGCAAGGTAATACACACCCACTGGCAGCCTTGATTTTGAATAAAAATATTTAGAAGTACAGTTACCATCACCAGCATGAAATATTCATCCTTTAGTCATATACTTTTGAACTTTTTGGGGCAATAGTGAATAATATTACCAAGTTTTGTCAAAATCTGTCAAGAATTAGGCCTTCTAGAGTTTTTACAGGCTAAAACTTCAATGCATTTTCAAGAACGTGGCTATAACTCATAATAAATATTTTACGATTTTTTTAGGGTTTATCCTTTGTTGCTAACAAACACTAACATCAACTTTTGTCAAAATTAACGCGTTTTCAAAAAAAAGGGCAATATAACTCATACTAAATATTTTTTCGATTATTCTTTTTTTTTGATAGGGTTTATCCTTGGGTGATATCAAACATTTGCATCAAGTTGAGTCAAAATCTGTCAAGAATTGTGCCTTCTGGAGCTAAAAATTGAAAGCATTTTCTAGAACAAGAGCAATAATTCATACTAAATATTTTTCAATTCTTCTGATTCTTCTGAATAGAGTACATCCTTGGGTGATTAAACAAGTGGTTGCCTAGCAAGATACGCCCACTTTCCAGATACATTTTCAGTATATCAAGGGCAGTCACCTATCTGTGTCAAATCATACCAAAAATCTAATTTGTGCAAGATATTGTTGATTTAAACAAACACACACTATTTAATAAAATTCTGACATAAACTGTCACCTTTATCGCTTAGAAATTTTGATGCGTTTTTACTAAGTCATGGGCAATAACTCAAATTCTGTTGATCGAAAAATTGTCAAATTCAATCTTGACTAAGATCTCATTATAAGTGATCATACCAAATTTCATTTAAATCGGATGAAAACTGTAGTCTCTATTGTGTTCACAAACAAATTTTGAAGCGTTTTTCATAAATCAAGGGCAATAACCATTGAAAGATAGCCTAATTCAACTTGTCCAAGATATCATCATTATAAATATTCACACCAAATTTCATTGAAATTGGATGAAAACTGTATTCTCTATTGTGTTCACAACCAAATTTTGACTCGTTTTCGTGAGTCAAGGGCAATAATTCAAAAACCTTTCATCGAAAGATCGTCAAATTCGAACTTGTCCAAGATTTCATGAATATAAATGATCACACCAAATTTCATTCAAATCAGTTGAAAACTGCAGTCTCTATCGCAAGCCAATTTTGACGCGTTTTGGCTAAGTCAAGGGCAATAACTCAAGGGCAATAACTCAAAAACCGTTCATCGAAAAAATCGTGAACATCGAATTTGTCCAAGATCTCATCAATATAAATGATCACACCAAATTTCATTCGAATCAGATGGAAACTGTAGTCTCTATCGTGTTCACAAGCCAATTGTGGACAGACGGACCGACGGACGGACATGGGTGACGATATTATAATGTGGACGTATACATACACTTCCACCAAGTTCTGTCAAAATCCGTCGAGAACAGTGCCTCCAAGAATGTTTAAGCAATTGTGGACGTACCGAAAGACATGGGTGACATCATTATATGCTTCACATTTCATGTGAACATGGAAGGTTGACCGGTCGTTTTTATTTGCCTGTTCACAAGCCAACAATAGAGACAACAGTTTTAAATGAAATTTGGTGAGAATATTTATATCAATGAGATCTTGGACAAGTTCGAATTTGGCTGTCTTTCCATGAATGTTTTTGAGTTACTGCCCTTTACTTTGGAAAAAACTCATCAAAATTTGTTTGTGAACACAAAAGAGACTACAATTTTCATCCGATTTAAATGAAATTTCGTGTGATCAATCATACTGATAATATCTTAGACAAGATTGAATTTGACGATTTTTCGATCAGCCGAATTTGAGTTGTTGGCTTTTTAATGCGCTAGAGGTAACAGTTTTTATGAAATTTTGTGTGTTTGATTAAATCAACCATATCTTGCACAAATTAGATTTTTGGTATGATATGACACAGATTGGTAACTGCCCTTGATATACTGAAAATGTATCAGGAAAGTGATCATATCTTGCTAGGCAACCACTTGTTTTCCTTACTGTTACTAGAATTTCGTGTGTAACTATTTTCACAATCTGAAGATAGAAGAAATCAAGTTGGTATCATTCTCAACAATAATTTCTATTACTGCACTTACATGTAGTTTGAATTTGGGTAGTCACCAACAATTAGCATAACAAGGTTTTGTCTATCTTCATCACAATAATTATACATGTATACCATGAAAGACATGAAGAAAAAATACACATAATTTGCTTTAATGCATTTATTCTGCTTCCATATATTAACCTTTAACACGAACAGATATATATTTATAAAGGGTCCCTTTAAAAATAAAACAGTCATAAATCTTTAGCCTGCTAATTTGGACAATGTAACAACCTTGATGATTAACTCCTAGATCTGATCTAGATAATCCCCACCTTAATAAACCATATTTACAATCAGAACCATTAAAGATGTTAGTGGAAAAATAATCATTGTTTCAATATATTAAGATATTAATTTTGTCGAGAGAAAAATAAGACTTGACATACTCAGCAATCATGCCCTTATATATGACACATTGAACCTTTCACAAAGGCTATTTATAATGAATTTAAATATATAATTATAATATAAACTAGGTTTGTATATAACAATTGTGTTTTTTTTAGAACATAACTAGTTTGTATACAAAATTATCATCCCATTAACATCATATTTAACCATTAATTCAAACAAAATACATAATCCAAATATTGACAAAATATATCTTTAAAAGGGATCCCTGTAAAGTCGTGGTTACATCAGCATTTAAAGATAGTACAATAATAACGATACACAATTAAAAGCATGCTTTTTTTAAAATAGATTATTGATTCAGCATGCTTTTTCCTACCTAATGACGCAAAAAATACATAACAAAAGCAAATAGCTGAATTAAAGAGATTGGCCTATTTTGTTGACAGATTTTAATATTCTGTTCTTTTGATTTGATCATTTTAACACTGGGATACTTTTGTTAAATAAATTACATGAATCTAAACAATATAAGACTTAGTATTTAAAGCACCACTTGCTATGTAATTCTTAATAAAATGGACTTTGTAAGTTAGTACTTTGTCCTGATGTGATCTTAGTGATAAGGAGTAAAATGGATAAATTTGTGTCAAAACTCAAAATATGTCAAGAAAGTAGACCAATTAAAGATTATGAGGATTAGTATAATTTTAATTAGTATAGATATATAATTGATATTTATATATATAATTATCTATTTACAAGTACAAATTAAAAATAATAAGTGACTTAAAGCATCTCCATCTATTCATTCCGGCCTCCAATCGATGTCATTTCTTTTGTTGTCAGGTGCCAAATATTTCAAAAATTCATTAAAAGAACCCCTGACATCTTCAGTGTATTAGAAATTAAAAGTATGAATAAAGTTTTCTGGATAAATATTTAGTTTTGTGTAAATATTGTCATGTTAAAAATGTTAGTATATTCTAAGTATTGTTGTGCCAGTTCTCTATTATTCGGACTAATATTGTTGGAAAAATATACTTTGACTAGAATACTTTGCTTAAATAAATTCTTATATACAATTTCTACATTTCCTTAAATAATGTTAAGACACCAGCAATCTCTTTCCCGAAATTCAACACCTACATTTTCAATACATTGTATTTCTATTCCTTAAAATCTCTGTAAAACACATTCTTTCTTTTTTTGGATTTTTTTTCTCAATTTTCTACATTTGGCAAGAATGAAATGTGGTGAGCCATCAACAATGACACTTTCCACTAAAACAAATGAAAATAATGCAATCCATATGTAGTATTTGATGATATAATATGCTTGAATTTAGCACTAATAAGTGGATGGTTATATATAACCAACTATGCTTTGCACTTTTCAATATTCCTTTTACATAAATGGCCGTAAAGCCCAATTTAATAACAACATTCGCTCAGCTTTAGTTAAGATCCACAAACCCAACTTTGTGCATTACATTGTTAAATTACCCACAAATTGACTGAAATACACATAAAAATACAAGTTAATATACATATAAAACTTGAACAATAGGTATAATCTATGTATATATATATATATATATATAAATTATTTTTAGTTAAGTTTTCATGAAATTGAAGGCAAGCTCACAGAAAATATTATTAATCAAACATACTGCTTATAATAATAACAAATTCTTGCCTTGACATGTAATTTTCAGTCAAGACCCAAATTCAGTCAAAAGAAAGATAGGCATTATTGTTAAACAGATATTTTATGAGACAGAAAAAAAGAGTATATAGATATATATGAAATTGTTGTTTATGTAAACAGACACTTCATAGAACCAAAAAATATATATTTTAGATACATATTGAATATACATGAATACAGAATATATACAAATGTATAACAACTGAATGAATGTTTAAAATGGTTACAAAAATGGAAAAAAATAATGAAATAACAAATGAAGAAAATGAATGAAAAGATTAGTATTCACAATTGAGTAACTAGTTTTACTAATGGTATGAAATAGCTGGCTTATATAGAATTTTCTTGTATCCCTATTGGAGTCAAAGGAACATCGAAAAGTCATAAGTATTGTTTTGTGCTCACTCCACCATAAACTTACATACATTAAGAACCATATTTTAGACTTTCAGGCAGTGAATAAAATTCTTGAAAGACATCTATTACTGTAGAATCACAAGGGTAATGTTCTAGAATGCATGGATTAAAGAATGGTTTTAAAGAAAGTCTTGTCTCACTCATTGTTTATGTAGTTTTAATATTGCCTTGCAACTAAACTTTTCACAGTGTGTTTTTTCAATTTAAATTCCTTGTTTAGCGTTATTGACAAACCACATGTAAATATTGGGCTGTGTTTAGTCTTCAACTATTTCATCCCTGTCGTCATTTCAAAATATTTAAAAAATGGTAACTGACACAGTCTAATACAACTTATCATTCAAGATAAATTGTTGTTGGGAGTATAAAACATGATATTAATATATCTATGAAATTATTTAAGGATTATCTTTTTTTTTCTTGTCATATTAAATATGTGACCTTTTGTCTTAAAACATTTACAAATGATTACTATCTTTATATCACATATATTTTCTTTTCAGATTGAGTTTTTAATGGAATCAGAAGAGAGCTAAGCAGATATAATCAGCCATATGAATCAACCGTGTTTACTGTTTAAATCAAATTGATTTCAGTTTTTCGATGACTCTATTACTTTTTGCTTTTACATGGACCTATCAGACTGTCAGGCAGTAACGTCATATCAAATTGTTATCTTATAGAGAGCAAAGCATTTTTATTATTATGTCTTCCCTTGTCATTTATAAGTTTACGTATATAAATAAAATTTATTTCCATAGTCATATTTAATTATTTAGCTTTAAATTCAAACACTTTATTTATCTTATGTATGATTTCACAATAATTTTTAGTTAGAAAGTGTCTCTTGACATTCCTTGTCTCAAACTAGCAAGAAAAAAGCATCAATATAAGCCAGGAATTTCAAATTTGAAAATTATTCCCACCTATAAAAATGTACAATATAAACATTACCATAGAAAGTCATGCATTTCTTTTGAAAGAAAATAACTTGGACTGCAGCTTCAAATATCCCAAATTTTCAAACACATAAAATCGATGAACCAAGGCAAGATGTCAAGTGTAAGAACACTACGAATTTTACATTACATCCTATAGTTCTGTCGGATTTCATTTTATATAATCGGCTGAAATCTTCTTATACTATTTTTATCTTAACAAAATGATTGAATGGTGATTGAATTTTGTATCATTTTTCTAATTCAAAGAGACAGTCCAAGATGCAGTTAAAAAACACAGGGAATAAAAAGTAAATAAACAAAATAATATAGACAAAGCATGCAATAATAATTCTTCCAGTATAATTTTATACAATATATATCATCAATGGTTTTATACCTTATAATACTACATTTCAGTTTCAACCCATTTTTGTAAGAAATTATATCCGATTATTTCTATTATCTATTTAAAGGCATTCTATGCCAAAATATTTAGAACAAGATGATAGTTAAAAATAATTCACAATGCCATCAATGGAAAGAAAATTATTTGGCTTAAGCTTAAGGCTACCTTGATTAATACTATACCATAGAATCATTTTCCCAGACAACTTTCCTACAATGAAAACCATAAAGTAGGTTTGAATTATGGCATTCAACTGATGGCAGAGTGAATTTTGCTATAGAACTCAATTGTTGATCATCAAAATGTTAACATCTTAAATTGTGAAAATAGAGACTGTCAGCAGTTTAACAAGGCCCTGTTCTCAATAAGAATTTACATACTAAATATTGGCAGTTCACTAGGAAAGTTTAACAAAATTTCATCACAAATGATATGAAAATTTGAATTAACAATTATTTGAGCATATTAGATGATATAGGCCATCACAGGTTTAAATATAATTCTTACAGTAACAAGTGTATCCATATGAAAGCATTCTGTTAAGGATGCCAAAACTAACATTATAGACCTACTTTCCATGTTAGTCAATCTTATAACCATGATATGGTTTCACACTCAGAATAATCCTTTATATTACTAGATAGTGGATATGATTTTGAAACAACTCCAAAACACAAAGGATAATTCCATGATGTACACATGCTGCTAAATTTGAATATTTGATACTGATAATTATTGATAAAGCTTCAAATTCAAGAAGCAGCTGATGCAAGCATTATCATAAGTATGTAAATAAATCTACATTTGAAAATGATGATGCAACTAAATGTAAATGGTTTATGTAAGCATTTCTTTATATCAATTAATAAAACTTATATTTTACATAAGGAAAGATCAATTGATATTTTCATATTAAATATTATAATAAATATTAAATCATTATATAATTTGCTTTTCTCTTTTTCTCATTTCATTCAGCTGTTACTTAGTTTGATGATATATCTGATATTTTCAAATCATGCTTTTATACTAAGTAGGTATGATTGTCTTACCAAGTCACTCATATTTAGGACAAAGTTCGGCTAGTTGTAAATCAGAAAAAGTACAAAAATTTATTTAACTGTCACTTTAAACTTCTTTTAAGTTTAAAAAAGAAAAGATTTATAATTGATTGACTGATGTTCAAAGAAATCAATTTGATGTGAAAAATATTGAAATATTTGAAAACTGTAGTATGAAATATGACAAACAATTAAAACTGTTATCTCATAGTTAGTATACAGTAAAATGCTTTTTTCACATATCATATCTGAAAATCAATAATGAACCATGTATATGAAAGTAGTTAATTAACATAAATATGATATTTGATCACACTTCAATAATTATACTTATAGATTCTTATCACATATACAATATTCATTCAATTCCCAGTCTATACAGTCTTCTATAACAACATTGTATATAGGAAATTTTGTATTTATGGAAATTCTGAAAGATTGTCAAGTTCATATTTTATTTTAAATAACCTCTATATAAAGCAATCAATATTGTTTTCAATGGTCCACTGACAATGCCCTCTGCATTCATTCCATATTATATCAAATATTTGTATATTTGAAAAAGAGAAAAATATTTGATATAATATCATTTCAAAATTTTGACTAGAATGAAACCACTTAAATAAACATCTGACTTGTATCACATAATAATGAAAATAAATGTATTTTCTTTTCAAATATGACTAAGTTTCATTAAAAATCCTCCCTTAAAATAATATCGAGCAATTATTTTATTTACTCAAGTTGTCAAAGAATATTTTGACTTTCATTTATTTGCATTTGGAGTGCATTGTCAACTTAGCATATTGCACTATATAAGTCTTCATAAAGACTCTTTAAGCCCTATCTAACATCACATAATGATACAAGATGAATACATTTTGACAATATAGATTTATAATTCATAAAATATTTGCACCAGCAATGAATTATTTTGGCAATAAACAGAAAAATATGCCAAGCCTCTTGGTAATTTATACAAGAAATTAAACACTTCATGTCAACTCGACCTTGTTTAAAGACAGTTATAGTGTCAAATAACAGTAACCTTATCAGGCCTAGAAATTCTTCACTTTTCTCAAAAATACTTATTTATTCAATTAGACATTTGAATTGATATCCTCAAAGTTCTTTTGTTTTTCAAATTTTGTGTTCCCTTATTTTATGGTTATGTGGTCCAAAACATTTATCAAACAAACTACATAAATTCATTATCTAATCAGTATAATATTGGACCCAAAGTTAAAACTTGTACAGAAAACTTGTTGAAATATTTCTAGGCCTGTTAGAAGAATTACCAAACTACGTAATAAAGATTTTTTCCAAAATAAAGGCAACTAGAACTCCCATGATAACAAAAAATACAACAATAACCATAGCTTTTTGTTGATCACTTAAAGGTTTCTTGACGATAATCTTTGTCTCTGTGGAGCGTGTTGAGACAGGCTTGATGGTTTCTGGACTCTGGGTACAGAAAGTAAATCCTGGACTGAAAGGGCCAACAATATCTTCATCCTCTAACAGTCCTTGTCGAATGGCACACACTCTTACATTATATTCAGTTTTTGGTTCCAAATTGTCCAAGGTATAAAATGTATTTGGTCCCTTATACACCTCTTTATAATTTTCATGCACATTATTTAAGCACTGCATCTGAAGTTGATATATTATGGTGTCTGTTCCCATGGGACGACACCCTACCCATTCTACTACACAGCCTGTTAGACAGATTGATGTGACCTTTGGTACTCTCAAAACTGGAGGCACTGCCTTGGTTGTTGAAAACGTATAATTTTCTGAATATGGTCCTTTACCAGCTTCATTACAGGCATAAATACGAAATTCATAAGCAGTCATCTCTGATAGTCGGTTTATTTTGTAGGTTTGTGCTGGACCTACATATAATGTGCTGAATGTTCCATCAGGCTTCATCATTTCTAATACATATGACAAAGGATCAGAATTTCTTCCATCTCCCCATTTGAGCTTAATAGAATTAGAACCAACCATAGCACATTCCAGTCTTGGGGAGCTAGGTGGAAGTGCTTTAGTTGATACTTTAACTAAAGAGCTGAAAGGCCCAACACCAATACCATTTTCTGCTTGAATACGAACTCTGTAAGTGGTTTCTGGAGTCAAACTGTCAATGGTGTATTCTCCAACTCTATCAACAATGATCTGCTTGTCTCCCATATCAATATAATAGGCTGTTATATCACTACCATTATTACTAGGTTCTTTCCAGCTTAGCGTAATTGAAGATGCTGTTGATGTACATCTTATGGTTGAAATGGAGGCTGGACTAGATGGTAGTGTGACACAAGTTGCATGAGTCGAGAACGGTCCAGCGCCAGCACTGTTGATGGCCTGTACTCGAAACGTGTACAACTTGTCAGGTATTAATCCTTTGGCCTCATAGCTACATTTAGGGCCAACATAAAGCTGTGAAAATTCTGTTTGGTCTGAACGATACTGCCATTCTAAACGGTATTCTGTAACTTCAGCACCATTGTTGAAAGGTTCCTCCCAATTGATCATAGCACTTGAAGACTTGCAGATTACAGTTGGTGGCCTTGTAACATCGGGAGGTCCTGCCCCACTAACAACTTCAAGGGGTTCAGACCAAGGGCCGCAGCCAATTCTATTGAAAGCACGCACTTGAAACAAATATGCCCTTCCTGGTGATAGTCCTGCAACTATACAATCTAAATCATGGCCTTTATAAACTTCTCTTGTGCTGTTATCAGATGAAATCATTTGGGCAGCAAAACATGTTATTTGGGATCCACCATTATTTTCTGGGGCACTCCAGCGGAGATGTAATGATGTAGCTTTTGGTTTGCCTTGTAATTTTGGTGATGGACATTGTGAAGGTGCAACAGGTTGTGTAGTGACTGAACAAACATCAGACATTTCACTGCGGCCTCCACTGCTACAGCAAGCTACTTTAATTCGATATGTATGACCAGGTGTAAGCTGGTCAAATTGGTATTCCTTCTCCAAACCCTCGTAAAATGTTTCAAATCCATTACCTTTATCAAGTTCAGCAATAAATTTGTTGATAACAGCTCCACCATCATCAGCAGGAGCATCCCAGATTATCCTGAACCTATCAGACAAAACTTTGCCTTTAATCTGAGGTTTAGCAGGAACCGATGGTCTTTCAGGCAAAGTTCGGAAACATATAACATCACTCCACTTGCTTACACCCTCATCATTTTTAGCAGCAAGACGAAATTTATATTCTGAATTTTGACGAAGGTTACGAACAGTGAAAGACAAATCGCTTCCATTATAGAGAGATAAAAAGCCATGACCTGATGTTTCATCATCCATCTGTAGTTGAAATATGTCATCATTTGGTCTCTTGATCCAAGATATTGTAAGAGAATATACGAACTGTTGACCCAACATAGGAGGGTCTGGCTGAGAGGGTACAGTGCCCTTTGTACTGTAACTAAACTCACAAAAGTCACTTTTCCCAATGCTGTTAATAGCAGCCAAGCGATAGAAATAACGTGTAGCTGGCTGAAGTTTAGTAGCACGAAATTGTTTCTGCAAACCATTATAAATTTCAACAAAACGATCACCTTGTTTACATTCTAAGGTGTAAGTTGAAATTTTAGATCCATTATCACAAGATGGATTCCACTTTAAACTGATTGAGTTTTTAGTGATAGAGTAAGACTTAGGAAGAGGTGGAACATCAGGTTCACAAGCCTGGGTGCAAAAACTAATAGGTTCTGTTAAGGCACCCTTCAAGTCCTCACTTAGTACAGAACATACACGCAAGTGATAATCTGTTGCCGGTTTCAGGTCTTTAAGGGTTATTTCATTAGCGTCGCCATTATAAACTGGCTTATATTTAGCATCCCTTCCTTTGTCAGACAGCAGTAATTCATATTTCAAATCTCCAATATCTAACTCAAACTCAGCTGTTTCCATATCTGGAGGAGTTAACTTAACCAGAGCACTACGTGTTTCTACATCAGTAACTTTTGGTAGTTGAATACTTGACAGATACTGGATAATCATTGTGTTGTCTTCTTCTGATTCAACTGGGCCATTTTCAGTAGGAGAGATTCCACCTGCCATAGAATTAGGATGGTACATATCTCCATTCATACGACGTTGTGGATATGGAGGACCAGAGTGATTATGAGGTATATAATTATCCATACGTCTCCTTTCTAATTTTTTCTTCACTCTTCCCCTCTGTCTCATTGCTCTGTCATCTGTTGAAGACATTGGAGGACTGGGAACAGCAGAATGCACTGGTACATGGTTGTAAGTATGAGGGTTTGGAGGTGTCTGTATCGTCACACCAGACAATAAATGAGCTGGTATGAAGGTTTGACCAGGATTTGTATGATGATGTGTTGCGTATTGTTGTGGTGAATAAGTTGGTCCATGTCCAAACGAAGTGTGGTAATACTGTGATGCACTATTTGGTCCCCCTGCCATAGGATTGCAGGGTACATCTGGTTTTGGTGATAAGAAAATATGGGTCAGTATTCCATATTCATCACAGACTTGGCTTATAAACTGATCTTCCTCACCAACTATTGGCATAGGAATGGGTATACCATTTGGTGATACCATTCTCACTATTGCTGGTCCTTCGACATGTTCAATTTGATCCATGTCACCTCGAAGTGAAAGTGATTCGCCAATATCAATATGCACATAAACTGGATGCTGGTTGGGCACTCCATTTGGACTTGTAGGTTGTCCTTGTTCAGTCACATTTACATTTGGTCCAACAAGGGAAGAGGGTGGTAAAGGGGGAGGCGGAGCACTATTGGTGGCACCATTAGGGTTAGGTGATGGAACATGATTATGGTTTGGTGTTGGATTCAGTGAAGGAGAATCACTTCCTTGGCCATTTTGTTGCGCAACTGGTACAAATCCATTTGAAATTGTCACATTTGTAGCACTATTATTATGGTCTGTTCCACCCACTCCATTTTCAACTGGAGCACTTTGATGTACATGCTGGATGCCGTTTGAATCAGGCTGGTTGATTTGGGCTGAAGAATTCGATTTTTTGTCTTTAGTTTCCGACATTTTCACAATTTTTCTAGTTTGCCCCTTAGTCTCTATCCTTAAATCTTTTATTCTTGAGAATGAAATTCGCCATATGGCTGTTTGACAGCAATTGTCACACGGTATTTTTCAGTCAATCATCACACTTTCAGCCAGACAAATCTCTAGATTGTTCGAAAATATCACAGATTATCATGGAAACATAAAAAATTTACAACCTCTCAGCATTTTCCAGATAAATAGTCATTTTTTTCGAGTTTCTCAATTTTGACGTCGGACTGAAATTAATACTTTAGATCTGTTTAGATTATCCAGTCTGAAAGGTCAAAGAATATAGAAGGTTATAGAAATCTGGATAACCTCGTCTAATTTATACATTTGCGATTGTCGTAAATGTCAAATTGTTAAAATTTGCATAATTTGTAAATTTTTGCCTTTAATTTTGTTGCAATTATGTCTTATTGATTTTTATAAATTCTTTCTATTCATATAAGCATATGATATCAATTGATAGATTAGATTAGTACAAAATGTATAGTTTGTAGACGTGTCTGTGTCTTCCCTGAAAATAAAACACTTGATTATCTCCCCTAGAACACCTGTTTGAGGTTTGTTTTTATTGTTGCATGATGGGAACGACGCGAATTTTGAAATGGCGGATTTGGAAAGATAATGAATTATTTGAGGATAAATCGTTAGATAATTCATTTAAGAATGGATGGATGGGGAAGGTATTTTTTTTACCTACTTATTTTGACTCTTTTATTCATTCATTGGAGAAATTTTTATTCTTAACACTTATTTTATACTTTAATTTTCGCCTTGAGCTTGGAATATGAATTAAAATTTATTACAAAACGTACATTAGGCCTACGTCAAAGTCATAAACTAACTAAGTTAGCTCTAAAAAATGAGAATGACATTCTATTGAATTAATTGATTGAGTTTATGAAGCTGAAAGAAAATTCCAGTTAATAAATTTTCTTTTAAGCTTACAGAGTGAGACAGAGAATAAATTTAAGTCCTAATTATAATAAAAAGCCCTTCCTCATTTGACACCTGTGGCTGTGGAGCAGTGTGTAATTAATACAGTGGTTTAACCTATATTCGTGCATATAAGGAATAACACTGAATTTCGCTAAAATTAAAAATAGCAAATTTTTTTTTGTGTCTCACAAGTTTCCTTAGATATTCTACAAAATATTTAAAATAATTTGACCCATATTTCTAATATCTGAAATTGAAGAGGTACCGGTACCGGTATCTATATCATCAGGATGAGGAAAAATAAATCTATTTTGAAGGGCGCTCTTTTGTGGTTGTCTTACCAAAAATTTGATTATAACAGTGTCATCAGCTATGAATTTTTTTCTGGATTTGGCCTACAAAGTGCTTCGGATGTTTTTTTGTCTCATACTTCACTAAATTTGACACTCAGATCAAATTCTTCATTTACCATTTACCTCATCCACAAAACCACTATCATCATAATCAATATTACGGTATCTAATAATGATTATTGCTAATAATCTTCTTTGCACGTTTTGGTTTTTTCAAAGCATTCAAAAATGCAAGCCTATTCTGTATCGTTTAAAACTGATTGCACTGCTTCTTTCATTAGACATGGAGGTGTTGTACCAAATGTTCTTCTTATATAAGAATGGTATTGTTTCATCTGAGATTAAATGAATACTTAAGTAGGGAGATCTTGGCTATGTGTAAGGAGATCTTGACCAAGTAAAGGGAGATCTTAGCCATGCGCCGAAAACTCCCAATTCAATGTGGACAATATCTCCCTAAGGTTACCATGCAAATTAAAAAGATTATGGCTGAGTCAAATATCAAAATTTATCCTAAACAATTACTTCTTGCATTCAACAAGTATTCATTTAAAATATGGCTAATTACACTCTTAATTATAATAAAATAGGAATAAAAAGATAAAATATAAGCTTATACGTCAAAAATCCATCCAAAGTTCAAAAGCTGTTTCCTTAAAATACTTTATAATGTGGGGTTGACACTTAGTTTCACAGCTGTAAATAATGGTGTAAGTTAGGGAATTCCCCATCTAATTGAATCTTTGATTTAGAGGTGGCCGACATCTCCCACACGACCAAGATCTCCCCAGTCTACATAAAATTTGATATAAGTTTTTCATTTTGCAGGTATGATAGTGATAGTTCATCTTCTTCTTCTGAGGATGAAAATGCAGCTTATTATGATTTTAGGAAACGTAAATGTGATACCATTATTCAAAAACCGGCTACACTTCAAAGATCCAGTAATAATACAAAAGGGCCAGTGGTGGTTCAAAATAATGACTCTTTTTCTAGCACTAGCAGTGACAGTCCAACATATGAACTAAATGGTCAATTTTCTGGAAGTGAATCTTCGTTGGATGATTCGAATTCGCCATTGGATTTATCCACTCCAAAAGGTTGGAAACAAAAAGACAGAGCTTTTGGCAATGGTGGCATGCCAAAACAAAAACACAAACAGTTACAAAAGTGTGAACAACTCAAATGGCCCAATCAAAGAGTTATAATTTCAAAAGTGAATGAATCAAATCATAAATTAATAGGAGAGCAGTCTACATCTAGTTTTAGTAGTATTAAAGGAGAAATTGGGGAATCTCCTGATGTAGCTGGCCTGGATACTCCATCATCTTGTGATGATAACAGCCCTATTTATCAAAATGTAATGAAAGGAAAGAGACTCTTTGATATTCGATCAATGGCTGAAAAACCTTCAATGTCATCATTCCCGAGTTTGTCTTCTATGAATGCTTTTGGCTATCAAGGAAATGAAGGATTAGCCAGTTACACATCCTTACCATACACTTCCTATTTAGATGAATCCCATTCAAGGTATGGTGGAAGGTCTATAAGTCAGCTACCTTCATCCACTAGTTTAATGTCAAATTTTAACGAAACAGCTGCTAATGAGCGTGAAGAAATGGCTAACATGTCAAATTTAAGCTCTTTTAGTTATATGAGCTCTATTTCTGCTTTAAGGAAACCAACAACTAGCATTAAAGATTGTAAAACAACTGATTCATCACCTGTGAGTATAATTTCGAATTTCACTGGGTCAGTGGAAGAAGCAAGAGAGGGATTAGCAAGCTACAACAGCTTAACCTCTCTTTATAAATCTCCTGAGTCAATTTATGCTGAAATAAATCCATCACCCAAGTTTTCCTCAGACTATATTCGAATGGAACGTTTAGGAGAAGGTTTGGCCAGTTATACATCATTACCAGGTATCAGATATGAATCTAGTTCAGAAGAACCAAACTTTAGTTTGAATTCCACCATCTTAGCAGCTCCACAATCAGATTACATCGATATGAATAGAGTGAATATTAACAATCAATATGCCAGTGTAGAAAAGAAAGGAATTCGGAAAAGTTCCTCCAATCAGTCTTCAAATGCTGCTACTCCAGTGAATGTGAAAACATCAAGTAAAATTTTAAGAGAACAATTCTTCACTTCTGAAGATCTTTCTGGAGACTATGTTGAACTTTCCAAATGTCAGGCATACTTAAAGGCTGTGAAAGAAAGAGAAGCAGATATGATGTGTTCTTCAAATAAGATCCGAAAAAATGTAAATTCACATGTTTCAAATTTAACTGCATCTAGCAAAGCTCTGAATTTACCAACTAAGCCCCCTTTACCTCCTAAGTTATTGCAAAAAGAGGAATTTTTGCCTTTACTTCCAAAGCAACCATTAGTTGTAAAACAATTGTTTACAAATAGCAAAAATATGAGAAGCATTTCCCCTTCTCCTTTGGTTTTAAAGAAGCCAAGTGAAAGTAGAGATGTTGAATGTGAAATTAAAAATAGAATTTGTTCTGTAGAAGAAGTGAATAGAATTAAAGACCCCCAATGCCTTGATAGTGAGCTAATTAACAGTAACAAAAGTTTTCAAGGAGATGGTAGATCCCTATTGACTTCTAACAACAATTTGACTTTAGGTGAATCAATTTGTGAACATAGGGAGGGTCTTGCAAGCTGCTCTTCTCTCTCTAATTTTAATGTGAACTCAGATATGTGTTCTCCAGACAGTTCTCATAATTTGAATGATATTTCAAAAATTTCTGTGCACTGTGTCAAGTCTAGTCAAAATACCATTCAAAATATAACTGAACTGTGTACAGTACCAAATCCGTTTGCAGATCCTAAAATCATCAATTGTGCATTTAATGTATCTGCCTCACAAAGAGGAACTCATAGTGATAGTGGTGTGGAATGTGCATCTGTGTCAACTCCTGTATTACACAGTGATCAAACATCTAATACAGGAGATCCCCTTATTGGCAATATTGAGGAAGTTTTTTCTCAGACTGGAAGTAGTTCACTTAATAGTACAAGTTCTGTAGCTGACACTGACAGTTGTAATCAGTGTTTGAGTCAAAATTCAGAGTCAAGTCAAAATTCCTCTCGCAGTCATAGTGGAAAAAGCAACCAAACTGTGTTACAAGTAGATTTAAGTCATCTCTGTGATAAAAAACTGAATAAAAATACATCACAGACTTGCATCAAATCTTCAAATTCATTGTCTGGTAACAATTCTCTCAATCACATTATAGCTAGTCACGTGTCAGAAGCCAAACTGTCAGCCTCTAATAGCATGTCATCTATATATTCTACATGCTCAAACTTCTCTAGTGTTCATTCGGCATCACAGGAAGCAACAAATTATGTTAAAACTGCAGCAAATGATTCAGGTAGTTGTAGTAATTTGCAATCTGATCATTTAAATGAATCAAAACATTCTATAAACAGTGAAAATGAAAACGCCTCATTATTGGATTTATATGGAAACGGTTCAAGCACTCCTCGTGCAACTACTTCCTCAACAGTTTCTTTTCCTAATAATACTTTATTGGGTAGTCCTATTGCTACATATGTTCAGCTGCCAGCACTGTGTGGTGTTGGTGGAGGTAGAGTTGTGAGAAGTCCCTGTGTCAAGCCCTCAATGTTGAACCTCAAAGATAAATATGAGGATGGTGCCATCTTAAACTTTAAATCAATGGACTCAAAATGTAATTCTATGCAGAAACTTGTAAATGCTTCTAATGTGAATTCTGCAAACCGAAAATCTCTGAAAGATAAGGAAATTCCCTTTGGAGGTGTAAGCTTATCTAATTTAGGTGTAGTCCCAATCCGAGAAGAAGAGGAAGAAGTTCAAATGGTTTATGCGAATGCTTTTAGAAGAGTTGATGTTGGAAGTGACAATGTCCCTTCAAATGTTGTGGTGAGATCAACGGTTAAACGTGTACCTTCCATAAATGAACCAAAAAGATCATATCAGTCTATTAATCCTCAACAGATCATACATGGACTATTCCAACCGTCAAACAGTAACAGTTTGGGTAGTTTGAATTCTCAAAACCGTATCTCAAATGCCCAAGTAGTTAACATGAGGACTAAATCTGCAACTGTAAGGAACACTCGACCTCAATCAGCTTTGGGCAGAATACAAGGTGAATCTTCAACCTTGCCAAGAACCAAGACAAGTCGTGTGGTACGCCTTCAGACAACATCTGGATCAGTCTTGAGTCCTCATCGTAATGTTTTACCCGATATCATTCCTTATGATGAAAGTGAGCCAGAAGAACTTTTACCACCTTCAGAAGCCTTGTTTAAAGCACAATTACCAGTACATCATATAAGTAGACACTCTGCTGAAAATATGGCAATTTCTGTTGCTAGTTCTAATTATATTCAAATGACTGGTTCAATAGCTAAAACGCCTAATTCAAGAAGTTTGGATACTGTGTCTGTATCAAGTTTGTTTCAACATGGTTCCTCAGAAGATAATTATGCTATGGATAGTTCCAATTCTTCATTAGACTGTGATAATTTTTCGTTTGATTTTAACCAACCAGAAGACTCTGTTACATCAGTAATGTTCTCTAGTACAGTTGATTTTCAGCAGTCTGAAAACAGTGAAGATACTACCATCTATCAGGATATTGATGCTCATGGTTTAGGAGCTTATGGTGGTAATGATTATGAAGCCAAAGCAAAGAAACATATCAGAGAACAATGTAAGTAGCTACTCTGTATGGCAAATTCAGTTAGAAAATTTGATTTTGACACTGTACACATGTTAAAATCTAATATGTAACTGAATGGGCCACTTCTCAATCCATTTCAGAAAGTTATCCTGTATAGAGTAAAATCTTTTACTAGTAGTTAGGAGAATCTTAAAGAGATTGTAAAGAAACTTTCTAAATCAGGGACACTGATAGCTTCAATTTTTTATTTAGATGCCTGTGATTTCTGCAATTCGTCTAAAGAGTTTTTTTTACGTCACTCTGCAAAATTTGCTTGTATCACATAAGATCTTTGTGGGGATGACCTCATAAACCGCAGACGTCTGAAAATTGTAATGGCTCAAATTGAGGCTATCATTGTTCCCGATACAAATTTAGAGACCTCTACAATCCCTTTAAGATCATAAGCTTGATGTAGTTGTAAAACTAGTATAAGTCATCTAATAATCCTTTGATATTTTGTTTTAGCAAGGCCAGATGATAATATAAGATCACCAAAAGTTTCAAGAAAAATAAAGAAAAGAGACAAAGAAAACAGTCCAGATCGAAGAAATTATCCTAGGGTACTATCTTTGTTCATTGTTATTTATCTATTTATTTATTTATTGTATATTTTCATGGAAAGTGCACAGTGAGTTTTTTTGTTTGATAATATTGGAGACCTTACTCTCTATTTTTACTTTTACTTAGTATAATTTAAATAGACACTGGCATAATAGTGCGAATAAAGAACAAAATGCTCACAAAGAACCTTACTTTATTTCAGTCTCCATTACCTGTCCACCATTCTGTAAAAGAGAAGAAAGCAGAACCACTTTCACCCAAGAAGAGTTCAAGATTTTTTCCCTGGGCTCATAAAGGAGGAGACACTTCACCTAAATCTAAATTATTCAGTTTGAGGAAGAAAGATAAAAAAGAGAACTCAAAATCCAAACGAAGAAAAGATGCTTACGAAAGATTTGAACCTGTACCAGTTGTAAGTATCTCATGAATATTTCTGAATGGAATAGTTTGTATAGCTTATACAATACTGATGATATATTCAGATCTAGAGATAGGTATAGGTTGTTCTGATGAATTTACAGCTAATTATAGGTTGTCCTGATGAATTCAGAACCAAATGTAAGTTTAGGTTTTCTGATTTCAAAGTTTGATTTAGCTTGATCTAGGTTTAGGTTGTTGTGATGCATGAGATCTAAACTCAGTATTGGGTTGGTGATACAGATTGAGAGCGAGATCATCTTTGTGTCCATATGTTAAATATATTTATTTGTATATTTCAGTTTGATCATGATACAGATTGGAAGACTAAATTACATACACTATGTAATGGTAGGCGGGTAGTAAGATATTTGAATTATTCTCAATCACAGTCACCTATGATTATTAAACATTATCCACGTAAGTACATGAATGATTGAAACTGTCAAAGTTATTTATCTTATGAAGATTTTGTGAAACCCAACGGGTGTGTTTCCAATGAAGATGATATTTTTGTTTTTATTGCTCTTCTATTTGAATTGACCAGATGACAAGTTTTGGGTCGTTTGTTCTAATCTAGTAAATGTAGATGCTTCAGACCTCTTAAATATCTTGTTAATTTTTTTTTATTTGAATAGAATTGTGTTATTAAATGTAATCTTTATTTTCAGCGCCTAAAGAAAGTACAAGAATAAAATGGAATTCTAATTTGATACAAGATGGAGAATCAGATGATAGTAATGAATATGCTGTAATTCATCCTAAATCTATTTTATCTAAGGTATTACTTTCATACTTCAATTGACATCAATTGTAAGACTGCCCAGGTTACAGATACATTTAGGTCAACTAAATTTATATTTACCAGATGTTATGGCTCAGCTTTGAGGAAGCCAGGGTAGTATTTATCTTGGAGAATCCATCTTACATTTTTTGTTCATTTTGATTTCAGAAAAGTAAAGAATATAAATATGATGGAGATGTACCTTCACCAATTATTATAACCAAAACAAGACAGTTAAGTGTAAGTGGGCGCAGACATTCTAGAAAATAAACTCATCTGATGGTGCCTAGCAGGCAGAGGTTGTGCAATTAAAACATTTTTTTCTTAATAATTTGATCTAAATGAATGCCAGGAATACAATAAATTCATGGGTTAACAAAACTGTCAAAATTAAAAGTGGTTTATATTTGTTTAATATCTGTGTATTCTGTGTAATATCAATTCAATCATATTGATTAGATTGATGTAGGCTATAACGGGAATGTGAGGGTTTTATGCAGACCGAAATAATTCACTTTGGATTTAGATGATATTACAAAAGAATTGCTTAAAAATGAATTTTAGGAGCTCCTCTCTGCCAAGAAGAAAATTGTTGATGTACATTAGATTGTATGAAACAATAAGGGGTACATGTATATGGAATCTGGCCTGCATATTTTGAAGTATGAAGTGCTATTATTATAGTTTACTATTTTGTACAAGTTATAATGGCTGATTTGATGCTCTCAATTTTCAACTTTTTATACTGGTGCAGAATAACCTCCAGTCAAACAAAGGTGAAAGTGGCATTTAATAGTCGTGGAATTTAATAATATTTCGGCTGTGTAATATTTCAATACTTTGATTTCCTAGAATCCCTGTTGTTCCAAGATAGTTTAGTGACTTTGGTTGAGCTATCTTTCCTTAGTATTCCAGTTGACTCAGCTATAGGGTATAGATCATCCAAGAAAGATCAAAATCAAGGAGGAACTGCTAGGCAAATCTTCCATATGTTATCCTTGTAAAATATGGTTATTCCTTCCTTTTTCTTAATGCTCTGTGTTTTGTTTGTTGGTTCTATTTTGTGAATATTTTGATTAAGCAGAATTGTTTTAACTTTATAACATTTTTAGAATTTTACTATATAGTATTTTTGCAGAGATAGTAAATCCAATTTTAGTTTGTAATATAATTTTTAGTCAGAAGGAATATTTCCATACATTTTTCATATATTTATTTTTTCCATACTTTTTATATTTTATTTATTGGTATCATTTTTCTCTAAACCACATAATTGTAACTTCTCAGCTTGAGTGAGACTTCCTTGTGAACATAAATGCTCATCAGATCATAATGGTCACTTGCTTGTTGGTTTTTAGGTATTGAGAGGGGGTGAGAGCCAACTCGTGGAAGCACTGGCATTTTGCTTAACTTGGGGAGGATTTGACCCCACGCACCTAATCGCCTAATGACTGGGCTATTCTAGTTATCGTTAAATCTATGACACAACTATTCAAACATGCAGTGAAGTACAAAAAGAAAAAGAAATGATAAAGGCTATATTCAAATAGAATGGAATATAAGGCTTATCAGTGTTTTACAGCTATCAGGGCTTGTCTCTTTCTCATGATTATTACTTCTTCAAATTGATACATTGAACAAAGAGACATTGCAGGATATTATAAAAAAAATCCATTAATGATCATGTTTACATAAGTATTTAATTAATTTATTGAAACTTGAGAAAACCAGTTGTATGGTGCTAATTTCCATAACCTATTTTGTTGCATTGTTTACACAATCATGAATACAATACAGTTTTTGGTGTTGATTCCTGTGCTATGGGTGGGGCAAATATGACACCAATTATCTGTATCCCTTTGAAAGGGGGCCCTTTCCCTATACATTTACAGAAAAAAAAACAACAAAGGAAATTCTCTATCATGCCAATGAATTTTTTTTTTAAATATCAACTGTAAAAATATCTAGGATTAGCCTTTACGTTACTTAAAGAAAAAGCCTGTAATAATACAAATCACATTTTTTATGTATCATTGTGCTTTGTATGTATAAAATAATGTGTATGATTTCATCTTACATGTGGCATGTTTCCTTATTGTTAGTGTTTAATTTATAATGTATTATATTTCATCAAATTCAATCTCTATCACATTTTCTATGAAAGATACTTAATGTATTAAATTATGTTAATACCTATAAAATAAGGGCTTTCAATTTATCAAAACTTGTGTTAAATTCCCTGAAAGACTGTATAAACTTTGATTTCTATGGATTAATGGACTGAAATTATTAATACAAATTGTAGATTTTGGTTTTATTTAAGGTTCAACAGTCTATCTGCAGAGGTTTTTAACCTTCTTCTTTACACTCCTTCTCCCTATAAATCCTTACTATTTAATTATTTTCTCTTAGGTTTTTCCTACCATCTTTTTCATTTCAAAGAATATATTCTAACTGAACGGAACGAATTCAATTATAATAGTCAAAAAATTTCCTACTTGACTAGCTCCTCATTGCCCCCTAAAATATCAAATCACACCCCATGTTGAAAACCCCTGGGACTTTTATCATGTAATATTGTTGGAAAAGTAGGTGCCTAGTGTTTATGAGACTTATTTCATAATAAATGAAGAAATTCTCCTTAAATACATTGTTAATTTCAACAGTGCTACTTTAGTTCATTTCAACCATTACATTTCATAGTTATATATGCTATAAATAAAGAATTCCTTTACTCAAAATACATTTTATAATCTCAATTTTAGATACCTTAACCTTCTGCAGAGGAGTGGTTATCAGAAGTTCTGTGATTTTATAATAAACTTGTTCATATTCTGCTGGCTTCATTCTGATCGGTCTATTGTCAGAATGGCTGTATTTTCGTCTCCAATCAAATTACATCTGGTTTGAACATGGACTGAAAATTTTTATTGAAACATCCTTCTTAAAATAGACATTTTAATCTAGTTTCATTTTATTTACACATCCTCGTGTAAATAACTTGACTTTCTCCTGGCAGAAATCAAAAAATAAATCTAATTCTGTGTAGACCAGGTTATACAGTACTTCAGACAACAAATATACTTTGAAAGCTCTTCAGGAACGATATAAATTTTACTACTGTTTGTCAATTTCTATTCAGTTTTTTAATCAGCATCTAGCAATATTTATTTTCAAATCCATACCTTTAGACTTTCATTGATATATATATAAATATGTTGGTAAAGCGACAATACCCAAGAGACGGATTGAATGTCCAACGTATATTGACGATGGCACACCACACCTTTTGGGAGGGTAAGTAGCATTTTTTCCTTGCGCCTAGTAAGGCAGTTGGGGGCAAATAGTTCCACAAAGTACAAATTCTAACAACTTTTTTACTCCGAATTTCACCAAAGATTGCGCGCGCATATTGCAAAAAAGGCTTTGGTTTGGTACTCCACCACCCTAAATCACTCCCGCAGAGTTTTTAAAAAAGGAACTGAAATCAGATACAATCATGTATCATCATCATCATCAGAAGTCTCATTTCTCGATATGCAAAGAAAAAAGTCCTGGTAGAGATTTAATGCTATAGAATTCGTTAAGGATTTCATCAGTAATACCGATAAAATAATTCTTACTATTGACCATTATGTAATGTAAAAAGAAATGCCAAGAAGCAAAAAGTTTTATGTAGACCTACGTCAGATGAATCATTAATATTGACAAAGATGATATTCGAGATCATTAATCCTTTTTTTACAGTTTTTCTTTTCTTTTTGTGTGAAAACGCCAGAGCGCACCACATTGATGCGACTCCATTAACATATTGATATAGCTTATAAACCAAGAAATGTACTTGTGAAGATTTTGCCTCAAGTCCACTGAAATTTCGATTTTCTCTGACTTGTAAAAGGAACTCTCCAAAAGAAAAACGCGTTTTTTGCTTTCTTATTTTAGTAACTTTCTTGTGGTACTTGTGAAAAGATAGAAGTTTGTTTTCGTCTTGTCAAGTAGGCATGTGGTCAATATTCAATGACAGTTTGAGTAACGAACTGGAAGCAGAAAGATATTCACTATATGGGTGAAATCCAATATTTAAAAAGTAGAAATGTTCTGGATTAGTATTGATCGTAGCAATGATATTTGCCAATGTGATAGGGAAATTTGATTTTTTCTTTGATTGAAAACATGATATGACCCTTGAGTCTAAGTATGTTCCAATGGCATATTGTACACGTTGTCTTCATTCTAACTTACTCTTGTCATACAGTTCAGTGCAAGTACAAATAATATCATCGAATTTTAATTCCAATGAAAATTTCACTTCATTGATGTAACTTCAAAACAACATTTTGAAACTAATAACACAAAACAACAAGAATATTTTCGTGGACATTTTCGCAATTGGTGAGGCATGTCACTTTTGAGCAAATTGGTAAATATATACGCTTTGGAAGGGTCGACTGTTTACTTGGCAGCAGCATTTAACACATTTTGGTGTAATGTCGTAATATTTTCAGAATGTCCAAGAAAAAAGAAATAACAACATCATAGTATCAATAAGTAGTCAATCAATATCAATTTTAAAGCAGACCTTCTGTTCATATTTTCTGAAAATTTAAAGCAATCCAGATAATATTGATTTCCACAATGTAGTGTTACAAACGAGCAATATAAATCTTTGTCATCGAGCATTAAAAATAAATGTGATGGAAACGCTTCGGAAAAATTATCTTATTTCATCCTTTATTTCCTCTGAATGTGATTTATAATAAACCTACACGGTAGAATTTAACTATCTGACATTTTCTTCAATTGACAGATGAATTGGAAATGTGACTTGAGATATTGCATCAGAAAGTTAAAAAAAAAATGATTTGTCAATGGCTATAATTACTCCAAAATCAAACTTGACACTGATATAATAAGAAATTGTATAACAAAAATAGCAGCAATCTGACAGATAACAGATGGTGATGTTCACAAAAGGAATTACTTTGGTTAAAGATTCAAAATCATGTTCCTAGGGGCTGGTTTGTGGGGTCCCATACGTCCGCAATATATGGAATTAGTTTTGAGACAAGCGCTCTGAAAATCTTCCTTATGGGGTACTACATATCGGGCCTTACCATTATCCTACTTATGTTCTAAGGTCGAGATTTCTGTCAACTTTTTGGACAAAGTTCTTGTCTGAATTGACGATGCAAGTACAAACAGTTCGCTTCGTAATTCTTTTATTTTACATTGTACACAAACCAGTCATATGCAATCGGTTCACAAGGGGTCTTGAAAAGACCTCATTATGTACATTTGAGAGAATTTCAGTCGATTCTAAGAGAGTATGGAAACTTCAAATAAAGTTAGCGTAAATAGAGTAAATAAAAAGTTCCGTTTACTTTTCTTCGTTTCGTTCCTTTAATGTGAAACAAGTGATTTCATCCTCCCAACATTGATTTCATTACTGGATGATCAGATATCATTTGATTGACACAATCGATCGAGGCTATCGATTTTCAGCAAGCAATTTGATGGGCGGTGTTCATTAAGTACGGTGTACACAACGTTTTAAAGTGACGTTTCATTAAGATAACGTCTTTAAATCTGTTACCCCCGTCTCACGGTAGCTCGGCTTTTCAACAGACTCTTTATAGTGTAATTTGGTTAAGAAATTGACACATTCTGTTAGTAAACTTCAACAGACATTTGTTTAATTTGTTAAAATCTTTTCTTTTTACACTAGTTCATGTTAAATTCTATTTTTATCCACTATTTTACAACTCGCAATCGAAACAAACATGAGGTTACTTTATCATAATCTTTTCACCATGGAGCCATGGACCTTCAAGCAGGTTCTACACAAATGGATTTTCAAGGTCTTCCAGAAAAACCTACTAGGAAAAGCTTCCTAATTTCCTAATGTACATGTTCAATCATGATGTTCCGTACCGCCAGTTCTGTAGACCGTACTCGGCAATAAGAACAATACCTGATGTATTCACAATTGATACATCTATTAATGGACAAAGATATATTTTCTGACTTGCATCAATAGTCTTCCCCCAAATTGAGTTATGCAGTAAAATGGGTCGCTGTCTTCAAAACCTGGTACAATTTTCTAGATGAAGGCTCACAGTGGTTTTGGTTTATCAGATCTCTTCCAGTCTACCCCAAAATTGAAGAATCTGCATCAACATATAAGATTTTATTAGTACTTGATAAAACATCCTACCTTGTTTAGATTACAAGAATTTACAGTTTTATAGTTACCCAATATAGCTCAAGTAATTTAAATAAATTCCAATAGTGTTCGATCTGTGTTCTTCTTTTCCTTAAAGGTCAACGAAGCATTTTCCAGTTTTAAGTCTGCCCGCGGGCACTTTTCCTTTATATTAAAGGAAAATCTATATGTGATTTTTGAAAATTCTTTATTACTTATGCTCCAGGCGATCATTGGAACGCTTCCCCCCGTTGTGAGAGTAAATAACATTTATTGGAAAAGTTGGTTAAGATCGAAACCTTTTATTTTCCCTTTCATTTTAATTCAAGTCGTCCATGTTGTCATCTCAGATAAGTTGATAGAATTCTCGATTGAATTTATTGGAGATCTAATAAGCATGTTTGAATAATAATAAGTTCAGTCCAGTTGCTTCAAGCTATCATTAAAAGTGAACACCGAATCTCCTTCAACCATGCCTCGTACCCGATTCAATGCATTTATGGCATAAGTGCAATCCTTTAGATAATGGGCAAAACCCACAAACGCGTAGTTAACCTACCAGGTGTATCAGCATAATATATAAAACAAATGCAAAAAGACAAAGTAAGATAGCTTGCCAGGCAAGGTAATATTCGTCTACCCTACTGGCAACTTTCATTCTAAACAAAAATATTTGGCAGTACAATAAAAATATTCAGCCTTAAGTCATACTTTTGAACTTGTTGGGGCGATATATATAATAATAATTCATATTTTGTCAAAATCTGGCAAGAATCGAGCCTTTACGTGTTTACGGACTAAAAATTGAATGCAGTTTCAAGTTTGAGGTCAACAACTCATATGGAATAGTTTCAATAGGGTTCATCTACGGGTGATAATAAACAATTTGACCAAGTTTTGTCAAAATCAGTCTAACGTGTTTACAATCTAGATTGACAGTTTCCAAGATCAATAACTCAATAACAAGATCAATATTTTTTTTATTTTTTTTTTATTTTTGATAGGGTTCATCCTTGGGTAATTGCAAACACTCTCACCAAGTTTCCACAAAATCCATCAAAAATTGTGCCTCCTAAAGAGTTAACGCGCTAAAATTGAACGCGTTTTCAAGAACAAGGGCAATAACTTATACTAAATATTTTCGATTTGCCTGATAAGACTTGAGCCTTCCAAAGCGTTTACAAGCAATTGTGGATGGACGGGCGGACATGGGTGATGCCAATATAAGCCCCCACCCCATTTCATGCGGGCGTATAAAAACACGATACAAAAGAAAGCCATTTAAGCTTTGTTTTCAAATTCGGAACCCAATTGGTTTGACAAGAGCTAATATTTTTTTGTAAATTTACATGATTTATGCTTGAAATGAGGAAAAAAGAGTTTTATTGTGTAATAATTCCACAGAGTTCAGAAAAATTTAAATTAGAATCCATCAAGGTCAGTGAGAAAGTTCAGGCAAGATGCCAATATCAAATATTGTTTTGTTGAAATAATGACTTTCCTATTGACAATCCAACCTATTCAAAAATCGACACTAAATATACGTAGGCCTAAGGGATTTTCAATACATGACAAAGGTCTACAAGATCTTGTAGTCAACTTCAGCTACGATGCTCTTTGCCTGAGAGTGGAAAACCCGTAATTAGACCTGCAATATTAAAAGGGAACATGTGCTGGATTCAGAAGGAGAAGGGCAACAACAACAATGGATAGCAAGCGAAAGGTCGCAAATGTGAGACGGTCGACACTATGCAGTACTTCTCATGATAGCGTTTCATTGCATTGCTATCGCATTCAGAAGAGCTAGAAAGAACCTGTGAATGTATCCACTGGAATATCAGATCACTCAGAATGAGCCCAATGTAAGGCTACATGTAGAAGAACCTAAGTAAAATCAGTGGGTGCTATTGTTACTTAACATATAGCTAGATAACAGGACTATGTGAAGTAGCTAGCCTACAAAGAACACGATTTACTGGGATAAATCAACATTTAAACTACGAATATAACATAGGCTATTCACCATACCTGTCGCAGTGTCGCAGCAAGTTAATTGATGAAATGAGGCACGAGTCGACTGGGTATCGGCGCGTGTTATTTCCCGCTTAAAATCAATAGCGTCTTCCGTTATTTATTCATTGCTTTTTACAATATCGGTCACTTCAACTGACTTACAAAGCTTCCATTTAATTCAAAGACATTAACTATTAGACAGGTTACGATCAACTCTATATCTAAGTTTACAAACTTAACAAAATTAATCCAAAGTATCTTCTTTTGTGTTTGCTTTTAAACCTCGTGCTACCATTCCCGCCGTTTTCTCGGAATGGCCGACAGATTATAGCGTATGAAGATAACTAAAGTACGGTTGTGCGGAAGCAGATCTATTCTAGCTGTTGTGATTGGGCTGTACCAGACGATGCTAAATTCTAGAAGCAATGGTGAAGTCTTGCAGTCATCAATGATGGCATTTTGGTTGCCCTTTTAACAATATTTTTAACATGTTTTGTTTTAGTGTCACTGTATAATTCTATTTTTTCAAGACTTTAGAAATAGATTTCAACTGTGTAAATATGGTGCATGCAGGCTGAATTGACAGTTCGTTACTGCCATTTTTGTGTTTAGAATAGTAGCTTTTCAGGAATTGGAATATGAGCTTTTTATAGAAGAGATAGAGTGATAGATTAAGAAACAATGCCTGTTAGAAGGGGGCATGTGGCCCCACCCAATATTTTTATTGATACAATCATCAGGAAATTTGATGGCCAAAGTAAGTCAACTTTATTTACATTTACTATGCTATGGAAGTAGTTAGAATCATACCATAACTGACAGGTGTCTATTTAAAGGTATTTAGCAAGTGATGGTGTAACCATTTGAATTTATACATTTTGTTTTGCCAGTGATAATTGTTATGTTAATTCCTACGTTCTGTTATATAGTCTGCAATTATGTCAAAACCAACATACTACATGACAAATGTATGGAATTTGTATCTTTATTATAAGTTTATAGGTGCATAGATGAAGCCCACTACATTTAACTGTCAGAGAGAACCATTTGAAATGAATGGTGCAACATTATCGAAAACCATATATGAGTCTATGGATCATCAATATAAAAAAACAAAAAAAATATTAATAATATGAAAGCTGACAAAGGATAGCTTGTGTGTTTTCATGACCTTATCCGCCTAGGTCTAGATCATAGGTTTTCAATTTGGAAGTTATTATCCTCATGGGGGTAATTTTGAAATTTCTTTAATGAGGCTCTTTGCAGTCTAGCATACGTTTTTGGATAATTATAGTTGTTTTATTCAGTCAGGCTATATTCTTCAACGTGAAAAAGATTACAGGGAAAACATTTAAGAAAATCACAAAATAGTAACTATTTATAGGGTAAGGAGGTAATGCAATCGATTTTAGGATCCTGAAAGTAATAGAAAGAAAAAGGTTGAAAACCCATGATCTATATGCTCCTGATTAATGCCTATTAGGTACATAACTGTTTTGATCAGTGCTGAGTATTGTTGGTAATGATGCTATAGTACAACAAAAAGTGACAATTTTTTATTTAAAGATTGTACCATTTTAGATGAATGATATTGCTAGTTAATTTATTGTCTATTATTTGTTCTCATCCTACTGCTGTTCTGTTAACACCTGTGAATGTATTTGTAACTTTAGATTTCTTCTGCATTTGGATGAATCAAGTTATATGTGTATATCAGTACATGTTTGTCTGGTATGCCTAGTATCATGAAGTATTGCTACACTGACATGACTATGATACATGTATAGTAGCATTATGTTTTAGAAACACTGATATATTATTCCAACACAGGCTTATTAGTAAGTTTTGAGGTCATCAATTAATTGATTATTTTATATAAGAACTGATCTTGTCATTTAATTGAAAATGGTGTCTTAATTGCTACATGTCTTATAATAATATTGACATGTAGCTTTTGAGTCTGATTTAATTAATGGAATGGTTACAATTAAGGCAAAATTTTATGGAGAAGAAACAGAACAAATTTTGAAGATGCGTTCCATGTTTTTCTCCTATGTTGGGTTAAAATTGTTAAGAAAAAACCCGTATTAAGATGTTTACACAAAATTGGTAAAGAAAAAGTTTCAGGTCAGGGAGAAAATCTTAAACTGTTTTGTCTTTGTTTACTGTAGGTTATTCTTTACTATAATCACTTCATTATAATCTTTGTTGAGTTGCTAAACTGAGAGATGATGGTCTCTATTAAAGACATGGCTATAAAATAATGTGCTGTTATCTTCAAAATTAAGCTAATTTGAAGAATAATGATCTTCATCTTTACGACATAACCAGAGTAAAAAATATTGATGCTATTCAGTGATGATATTAATTTTGTTTGTTTTCCTGAAAACTACATTTGTGCATTTAGTAGTCTAAATATTGACAGAATATTAAGAGGAGTTTTCATATCTCATGGCAATATTGCTGGCTGATTTTCATGTACAAAGAAAAACTTTCCATTTTGTTGATATTGCCAAGGCTGGTCTTGATGACTATTATTAGTATGCATAGTAAGAAGTATAGTATGACTTAATGATGGGGATTACCCAGAAAATAGCTGAAGTAGTTTGCCCACTCACCAGCTAGACAAAATAGTTGTCAACACAGGAAAAGTCTTCCATACTCACCAACAGGTTGTCCTCTATAAAATATTAGCTACAGGTAAATCCTGTAAGCTCCAGTCATTGAAAATGACTACTGTGAATATCTCCTGACATCATCTATGTATAGAAAAACCAATTATGAACATCATCTAGATAACATCTAAGTATATAAAAGCTCATTGTGAATACCATGTAGAAAACATTTATGTATAGAAATAAATGTATAAAACAATTGTGAACATCATTAGAGACCATCTGTGTGTTGAAAGGTCCATTGTGAACATGTAGATAACGTCTATGTATAGAAAAGCCTGTTCGGAACATCAACTATTGAGAACATCTATATTGAGAAAAGTCTACATGTGAACATCATGTGTACAGAACATCTATGTTGAGAAAAGTCTTCTGTGAACATCATATGTAGAGATTTGGGAACATCATCATGCTCCAGTTAAAGAACATATGTATCAAAAAAATCTATAGAACAAAGTCTGCTATTTATTATCCATAACAGAACATTTCTATACATTATTGTACTTGTTAATTGATATTTGTATATTGTTGAAAATTCAATAATCATTTCATTATCATTAACTAATGAACAATTTGTTCTAGAGAGAACAATATCATTCATGCTCAGTCGAGAGTCTAAATGCAATTGATCGAATATCAGTGATAAAAAATCATCATGGTGTCTATGGAAAACAATGAAAAGTTTAATCAAAGCTACATATAGAACTCTGATTGATTTGTCAGAAAACATTTAGTGATATTCCCAGTGGAGCTGAAGTACTGGTATTTTATTGTCTACTGTTGTACACAAAAAATACAAATCATAGCTACTAGATCAAACTAATAGTACTATATAGTTAATACCGGGAAATATAAAAAATTACTGGGAAAAAAATCTGTAATAGTTCCAGACTATTCCTAGGAAGAGACAATAATCTAAGGCACAAGGAAGTATTTGAAACACTTCGAATATGCTATTTTTACAGCAAAATTATGGATAATTGTAAAGAAACTTTTCTGAACTTTAAGATACATCAAGTGGTATTGATATCAAAGGTTCTTTCAAATATTACTGCATATTTGCGTAACAGTTGGAACACAAAAACTCAAGTGCTGACTTTAAATAACCTCTAAATCATCCAATCACATAATATGACTAGATTGAAATTGACAGAATTATTTGATAACAATTTATTTTGCTGATAATATCCAGCACCCATTTGTAAGTATCATTGGAATTATGTTGACATATGGACTGATAGTAAATTGTAGTAAAAGTCTATAGTAGTAATCTATTTTTGAGATATTAGTATTCAGTGTTAAGAGTGACCATATTATTAACAGTCTGTGTCAATTTCATAACCAACAGTCTACTATCCTGATGAAAATGAAATAAGTCAAAGATTTTACGGCTCAAAAAACTTGAAAGAGACAGACTGTGTTAAAATCACAGCAATCATGCAGCTAATATTTGATCCTTGATAATGCCCTTTGACGAAGAAATATATCCATTTAATTGGGAACTTAAAGGAATATCTGATGTCCAGTGTTGTACAACTTTGATTTACATTTTGTATCATGGCTGGTTGACTAGACACATGCATATTTGAATGTATTAAAAGTCATTAATGGCATTATTGTAAATGTAAGTTGAACAGTCTGATTAAGATTATTTTGAAATAACAATGTGTTAAATACCTCCTTTAGCAGAGTGAGTAACATACCAGATGGCTTATATAGATAATTTGTGTCTTCACAATCACTCTTGAATAAGTAATGTATTTGTAATGAAAGTTTCCACTATTTGTTCCCAATGACCGACTGATTCTAACAGCTAAATTTAGACAGCTTTGTAAGTGTAAACACTGATTTCTTTAAATCTTCATCTGATATCAACATTCATGGACCCAGTTTGATAATAAGATTGGTTGTCCTTCACAGTTCAGATCAATGATCGAAAGGAATATTTGTGCATACGACTGAATATACATATGGCAAAAAAACACATGTGTGGGCTTGTTATTTGATGAGGGGTTCATATGCATGGGAAATGTAGACCTCTTGGTCTCTATTTAGCTTAGGTTGATTTCTTCTTATCTCGATGGCTTCAGTCATTTGTCTGGTCTTCTTATTCATTATTTGATGTTGAGTGAGCGCTGTTATGTCTTCTACTTTGATCTTGTGACATCGGTTATTCTTTAGGTGTTCTGATACTGCAGAGGTTTGAGTTGGGAATTTAAGGTTGTAATATTGCGGTTAAGCAATGTTACTAAAGCACAGGCATGTAGGCGTAACCTCTACTGATAGAGCAATGTTTGTGAAGTTAGTTTAAAAGAATGATATAGAATATTTGAAATGCAAATCCATTATCTTCCGAATCTGAAATATATAAGAAGAATACTGGTTCCAACAGGAACATTAATAACCATGGAAATCATGATAAACATTTTCACTGGTGAAACTGAGGAATTGTCGGGCAAGGGATAGATGTTCTTGGATTCTGAGATTGAGGGGGCGCCTGGTTTCACCAATGTATTTCTCCTCACACCAGCAGGTTTTCTTGTATATATGCAACCTTTGGGAGCTGGGAGTAGTCTTTGAATTTAATAGGATAATTTGCCTCTAACGGGGATTGAGATTCGGATCAGTGATGGTGAGTGTTGATTTCTTTTTGACCTGGCTGTGGTAGTTTGAGTTCAAGTGTAGGTACTGATCAGTGTGCATGGGTTTCCTCTATACACTGGTGGACAATGAATTACCTGCTTTCTTGACCTGGACATCAAGGAACGGAAGCTGATTATTTGATTATGTGGTTTCATTGTAAATTTGAAAGCATTATCTTTGAAACTTCGCATGTTATTTATTAAAATAATTATTATCCATATAATTGTGTCCAGTTATTTATGAATATACATTGTTTGAAAAAAAAAACCATTGTTTTGTAATCTGGAATTAATAAAAACAAAGTGTTACACAGTATTATTTCTATTAATGAAAGTCACATATACCTAACTTTAACACCCTACCTAGTCTTAGTAGGATTCATGTGTCTTGATTAAACAATTTTGACAACTAGTTACTTAAAAATTAATATGAATGCATC